GAATGTTGTTGAAGATCGATATATCCCATAACGAGCCAGAGAGAAATCGGAAAAAATTCCAAGGGTGTAAAAAATATCCTTGTAATCTTTATCAATTAAACACATGATATACGCATAAATTCTATTGTTGCACGGTCCATACAACTTCTTAATCAAAAGTTCAACTCCAAATCGGCTCGATATATCGCCATTGCACTTTATATGTACATGTGAGTGTGTGTAGGTGCTAATTTAATCGAAAACCTTAGGAAAACGTGTTGTTAAATATCTAATATCTTTTCTGTTATCATTAAAAATATTTCTTTACATTGCTTTTATTTTAAAGGCCACTGAAGAGCAAATGTTTGCCGCTGGAAAATTGATGCGAGATGTCTGTTTGCCAAAATTTCCGAAAGTTTCCACAGGTATGTTTGAATTATTGAATTCCGAAAATAAACATAAAAGAATGAGTGCGTCTGGGCCATCGTACAGCTGTCTAAGTGAAAACACTATCAGCTGATTGTCAAAAAATGCCTACAGCTGAGGTTACCTGTTTTTTTGCGTTTGCTGTCATCTTTTCTAATTTCTTCCATTTATATTACAATTTCTTCCATTTCTATTACATTCTATTTCAAATACACTAACCAAAAACGCACCTACAGCCTGCCAGAAATAACGGTACAATGAAGAGACACGCTACTTTAGAGCTGTACGATGGCCGGGGCTGCACTACGATTTCTCTATGTAGTTGTATGTTTTGAACTACTGTACTTAATAAAACATAAAATAATATTGGGTTGAGGGATTTTAAATTGATCTAATCATAAATCAAGCAATCAATTATGGTTTTGACTTGATTCGCTGATAAAATTAATTTGTGTTTTGCTTCGCTAATATGAGGGGAGTTGAGATGAATGAAGATGAGATGAAGTGATTTGAGGCGAGCTGAGGTGAGTTGAGTTTAGTTGAGGTCTAGGCGCCCACATTTTGTGGGCTATATGGATCCCTCGCGCGACTGAAGGTATACTTCTTGGTCCAATTTCCCGTAGAGGTCACCAGTGAGTGGAAGATCGACCTATCAAGGCAGCCAGTTCAAAAACGCCCAATCTCAGAAAACTTTTCACGAACGCCCTATCTCAGAATTTGATTGAATTATGTTTGGTGCCAACTTTCGACCTGCACCTATCGCTTATTGCAGTTTTGTGCAATCGATGTCAAAATTTTAATGAAGTCCAATAATATACATATAATGCGGCTGAAATGAATTCTATAAGCTATATATCCTCTATAAATAAAATAAGTTTCTTCGAATGGTTTTTGTTTTGTTTTGTTTCGTTTTTTTTATATCTTTAGTTTGACTTATGCTGAATTTCGACTAGGTATTATATGGCCAAATTTCCCCCATTAGTGGAAATTCGTATTAGGAAAAAAAGTTTGTTGTCTTAAATAATTATTAATTCTACAATTTTTGATTACGCCTTGTAATGACAACAATGGATAATAGTTATATAGGATTTAAATGGACTTTTGGTTATTCTACTAATAATGTCGAAACCTCAAAGTAAAGGCTCTCATAGTAATTGTCTATCTGTGTGTATACTCTCGGAAGTACTCGTATTTTTACTTATTTCCTTTGATAAATTGATAGTGAAGACTTTTATAAAAATTTGATTATTCAGGACCCCAAATTGCATTGTTTGACAAATTAAAAAAATTATGCCACAACTATATCCATATATGTAATACTGCTATATTGGGAGTACCTACAAGTGCAGTCAGCAAACATTACAATACAAATATATAAAAAATTTCAAATTGTTGTCGCTTTCCCACAATAGTTTTTCATTAAAAACGGCCTCAAGCTCCATAAAAATTTTTGAAGATACTATATAAAAAAATTAAAGGAAAACGGAATAATCGTTTGTAAAAAATTACACTTCAATTTAAAACAAATGGCGGTACCGTAAAAGAAAATCACAGAGAATTTTGAGTTTTCATTTAGATTCATAAATTTCATAATAAATTAAATTGTAGAAATATCGCACAGATGCATTTTATGTGAAAAAAGGGGTAAATTAAACAATATATAGCTTTACTTGCGTATGTTGGTAAGCAGATAATTTCTAGAAATTTTATCTAAAAGGTTTTCATTTCCTAATGAAACTTTGTTGATTTTTTTTTTATTTTTGCACAAAGTTTAAAATTCAGATTTTTATGGTATTTGTTAGATAATAAGCTCCAATTTTATAAAAAAAATAGCGAAAAAATTCTAATGAAAGACGTTGCGAATATTATATAAATTTCACTATAGCTGTTTATCAGTTTTTATTTGAATACTCAGTAAATTTGTACCCAGTGAAAAATGGAAATTTGTATATTTATGTTTGAATTAAATATTCCAAAATAATATAGTTCTTGTCTAAGTGCGGTCTAATTTCATTTTTTAATCGCGGCCAAATTTCACTTGGCAAAATGAGTTATTATGTCAAAACATCGCATTTTTGCAATATTTCATCAAAAATATATAACTTTAGCATTTGCCGCACCAAAATTTCTTTTCCAATTTTGTTGGCCTGTGTAATTTGTGTAAGTGAACCAGCATTAACACAATAAATAGCTACAGATCAGTGGAAAAATAGCTGCTGCAGACAGGTGTTCCTTTGAAAAATAAAATCAGATAACTTTCTCGCTTTGGCAAAGGTGAGAAGAAGACCTTCATGCGAGATTGTGAGCCCTGCATTTAGAACTGCTACCTTTCTACTGTTGCTCCTCAGAAAACTTTAAGGCGCCTGTTTAGAATCCTTTAATGTACGCATAAATGGAAAGCATACCTTTAATGCTGTGTAAAAAATTCATAACGATAGGTATCCTTCGGTCAATCGGGTGTCAGTAGAAAAAAATTGTATTTTCGAAATTTTACTATTTGCTTAACAATTACACTTCGGATAATTCAGAGATTTATACACTTTTATTTTTTCCTTTCCAGAAGTAGCTGATGGCATCAAGCTGGGTAATATTCCCGACACCAAAGACGTAAAATGTTATATTAACTGCGTTTTGGAAATGATGCAAACGGTATTAAAAATATATACATACATATATACATATGCACTACATATGTATGTACATTAGACTGCATCACCAAAAAAAGTTGCAGTTTTTCCGCCGGGATTACAAAATTTATAATATTTTAAGACGTCCACCAAAATATTTCCGAAAAGTATTAAGATTTACGTGAACGGGACCGGTTTGAAAATACCTCCAAAAATGGAGTTTTTTATGAATAAAAATAGTTTCTTAACGAACTTTTTGAAAAAAGTCCCCTCAGATGACAAAACAGATTAAGCTTAAAAAATCTCCATAAAAATATTTAAAAATCTTTCCAACGGAATCGTAGGAATGAGATTTTTGATGCTGTTTTTTTTTACTTTTTTCAAAGATTGACTTACGAAACACTTGAATAACTGGGCCAAAACTATTCCGATTTAGACTTATGGGATCTCAGTAGAAAGGTATTTTCACATTGTTCTTATTTCTCTCCAAAAAAAAGTCATTCGTGTCCCCATTTATTTTTATTTTTTTTCAAATACCAACACATCTTAATTCATGATGTTCGTTCATCCTAGCTTTCTCTTTCCTCTTTTGAATGAGTTTATTAGCAAAGAAATAAAAAGGGTGAAAAATACCTTTCCAATTACACCTCTTAAGTTTAAGTCGGAAGAGTTTAGGTTCAGTTATTAAAGTTTTTCTTATACCAATCTTTGAAAAAAGTTAAAAAAAAACATCGAAAATCTTATAATTACGATTCCGTAAAATTTTTTTTTTAATATTTTTATGTAAATTTTTTAAGCTTAAACCGTTTTGTCATTTGAGGGGATTTTTTCAAAAAACGTCTATAAGAAACTATTTTTATTCATAAAAAAAAACTCCATTTTTGGAGGTATTTTCAAATCGGTCCAGCTTTTCCGAAATATTTTGGTGGATGTCTTAAAATATAATAGATTTTATAATTCCAGTGGAAAAACAGTACCGATTTTTTTTTTTTAAGGGGAGTGATGCAGTCTAATGTACATATGTATATAAAATACAAAATCTATTTTATGCCGTTTTAGAATAATTTTAAAACTTTCTCACACTTGCATAGATGAAGAAAGGCAAATTTCTCCTCGAAAGCTCATTGAAACAGATTGACCTGCTGATGCCAGACGATTACAAGGATGATTACCGCGCCGGTTTGCAAACCTGCAAAGACGCAGTCAATGGTATCAAGAACAATTGTGATGCAGCTTATGCGCTATTGATTTGCATACGCGGTGAGATAAAGAGGTTCATCTTCCCTTAGATGTGGTACATCGCGCAGTTGATTGCAGTATTCGTGAATACATACAGATGCACTAACTATGTGATGTATAGTAGATATATGGCGTTATTCAATAAAAAAACAATACTTTATGTTCATAATTTTCGATCGTTCTCTTTTTCGTGAACCGGTATTCTAGTCATTCAAAAAATTTTAAAGAAATTTTATTTTATGTATATTTCTTCTACAGCAACACTTACTGTTCTCAAGAAAAGAAAAAAACTTCATATGGGCGATTCCACCGTCACGGGTTGGACATTTGTACAGAAAAATATATTTTATATGGAAAACATCTGATTTATTTCTTTTGTCACGGGTGGGACAAAAAAAAGAACCTGCTTTTTGGAGCAGATATATTTTACGGAAACTCTGCGAATTCATTTCACTTTTCTGTGCGAACTTGATGTCACGTTGGAGAGAATATAGAAGGTGGCGCCGATGGCAATACCGCTAATCGGCTCTCAGTGAATTTGACAGAATCAGCTGTTTTGCTGACGTCACAGTCGAGATGACAGCAGTAGTGATGTGCTGAGTCAATACTTTTAAGTATCCAATACTCTCGATACTCGGTACCGAAACATTTAGGTTTCGAATAAAAGCGACGCCAAAAATATGGAAAAAACGCCTATAAAACCCGAATGTAGGAGCCAATAGAGCTTTTAATACTGATTCAAATGAAAGATGTATATACATATATGTCGGTTCGAGGTCATAATACAGAGAATCTCTTACTTGTTTTAAGCATTTTTGTTCCAGCTGAATCAGACAATATCATTTTTGTAGGCCTGGGGCAGATTCTGTAACCAGTTAGCGACAATTTTCGAATCGGTATCGGTTTTGTTGACGTATGATATGAAATATTTTTACGTCAACAAGTGCGATATCGATCCGAAACTTGTCGATAACTGGTTACAGAATCTCCCCCCTGAAAGGCTTCTTCATCAGTCAAAGTATCTTTCTTGAACCTTGGATCGACTACAAGCCTGATTATGGCAACTTAACTTAATTTAACGGAGCGTAGAACTTAAAGAATCATAATGAAAAAGATTTCGATGTGGCATTAAGTTACGTTAAGTTTCGGCTGTTCAATTATAAGCAAGACCCATTTAACAGAATTAACATACTATACAGAGAGAGCCGTAAGTTACGTTAAGTTGCCATAATCAGACCATAAGGTTAAAACTGATAAAATAATATTTCTCTGTTGCGATAAGTTCAAGTGTTTTAGCCGATACCATATAAATTAGTAATGAAAGTTTTTTCTAAACTTGAAATGCATATACAGACCTTGTGAGATTTAAGGCATCTGCATCCCCTCGATGCCTCTCAGTCATTTCTGAGCGAAGTATTCACCCAGTTTCTGATCGTGGCTTGGATTACCGAAGGTGGGAGTGCAAAAACTGGTTGCCGAGGAATGCCTGGTCTGAGCCAACTCTGGCCAAATGATCAGATGTCTCATAACTAGGTATTCCAGAGTGACCTGGCACCCAGAGTAAAACAACCTAGTTATTTTCACCATCATATTTTAGTCGAGACTTCCATTGCCGAACTAGTTTGGAAGTACTTAAATAGAGGGCTGGTCAATGCCTTAAGGGCAGCTTGGTTGTCTCTGCAGTCACGTAAACACCTTCCTCTCCACCTATGTTCCACCACGTAGTCCATGGCTTTGAGTATTGCAATTACCTCAGCCTGGAAGACCGAAGCATATTCCTCTACAGAATAGTGAAGTTTATCTTCATTAACCTCGCAAAAGACCCCAGATCATGACCCAGAGTCAGTTTCGCAGCCATCGGTGAGGATTAGACAATGTGTGAGTCCGGTCTCAGCGATGGAATCAAACCAGCATTCAGTTCAACATTATAAAATCAAAGGTAATGGTGGCGTACTATCCTGTAGCATTAAAAAGACACAAGTGCGTAAATCTCTGCCGCCAGCAATTTTCGCCGCGCCCCACTCATTGTCATACCAGGATCCGGTTCTTTTTAGTCTGCAGGTGGCCTTTAAGGCTTCCCCACGTATGAAAACACAAAGTGACGGTAAGTGCAGCAGTGCGTCAAGAGCACTATACACCACTCAAAAAAATTAAAGTTAAATAAATAGGCTATCAAGCAACCATTTTGGTTCTCTACATCTAAACCAGATGAATTTTCGTGGACCCCCATTTACAACTCATGGACCCCCAAATTTTTTTCACATCATCGTGGACCCCCGGCGTGTCATCCGTGGACCCCTGGGGGTTCACCTGGACCACTTTGGGAATCACTGTTACAGACTAACCAACATTTAACAGAACTATTATGAACGGCTTTAACTTACGTAAAACCAGATTGTGAAAATTTGGCCAAAGAATCGTTTGAATTTTCTTTAATATCTATCTTACTGACATTAGAATAATAATAAAATTAATGTTTTTCATTTCTAATAATAATTTTATTTAAATTTATTTTTTTGTTTTTCCTGTTGGCTGTTTGTAGCATTTAGAATTTACATGTGGCTCTCTTCGTCCTCGGCCTTGCCCATCCCTGTCTTATAATAAAACACAGAACCAGGAACACAAACAAAGCAAAAACTGCAAAAAATCATGGCTTTATTATACCAAAAATCCGAAATTCCTCTGTCAGGGGTGGGACAATGTTTGTCACGGGTAGGACACGTACGAATTTTTATATGAAAAGGAGCTTTTAGTGTGGTCCATATATAAATATTAGCTATTAAAAAATATAAGAAGCCAAGTAGGGGTTAAATTCATTCACGTTTTATCTTAGGATGGTTAAGAAAATGCTTAGCACCGTCAGCCAAAAAATTATTAAAAATGAACACGATTTCCTAGCGTCTTGAAATTTTCACTTTTACCATTTAAATTTAATGGACTACAAAACGACATACCTAAAAAGTCTGAACAAAAAGTTTAAACTTTTTGGGCGTAATTGTTAAAGTTTATTGCATTCTTATAATTTTTGTAAGAAGTTTGAAACGTGGATTTATGTGGTTCTGGTTAGGTAATGTGCTAGACTTTTATAAAAAACACTATAAATATTAGATTAACAAAATAAAAAATCAAAACTGGTCAAAATGTAACTTAACTTTATAAGCTGACCACAAGGTCAACGAGTTCAAGCATCCCCCCTAGTCCCCTGCCTCACCACAACAAACAAATAAAGCTTATCAGCCCTGTAAACCTACCTCTGACAACTGTCCCGCACATAGCTGTCACGGATGGGACATGCTTCTCTGTGGAACTATTCTTATCTAACTAGTGGAAACGACAATGCAATTGTGGTAAATATTTGCAATAAATTTCTAACATTATGTAACAAATACGAAACACAACCTCAACTTCTGTAATTAAATATAATAACTTTTAGCTATTTTTGTCACGGGTGGGATAAGACCAATACTGCTTAATATTAACTCATAATATAAATAATGCAGTCACACAATTTAATATATAACACAATTTTATTAAAAGCAGATGAGTTCTACCATATATTTTTCTTACCAAACACTTTAATTATGAATCGCAAATTATTTGACAGTGCATTCAACACAACCTACTTTCGACTCAATCAAAAAATTTACTTAAAACTTGATTTCGAAACGTAAAAAAAGATAATAAAAATGCATTTAAAGCTTAAATTTGTTATTTTTTGGTTGATTCAAGATTTTTACAAATGTCTTATCCACATGTTTGTTAGTTTCATAAAGAAAATTATTTTTTTTTTCGGAAGAGAAGTGTACACAATTTTGACCGTTAAAACTCATTCTCACTCTTGCTGAGTCGCAAAATGAGGAAGTGTACATAATTTTGACAGCCAAAACTCATTCTCACACTTCACAGTTACAGAATCCAGAACCTGGTATCCAGAAGAGTTTTGTGTGTTGGGACTAGTATAAAATATCACGGATAGCGTTTATAGTGTCTCAGTTAGCGGAGATATATTTTATGGCTTCTAAATCTGAGAGACTGTCTCTGAAGATTACAGCCTTCTATTTCTTTTTTTGATGTTTCAAAAGTGTTCTTTTGGCAGTTCGTGCCGGCAAAACCGCAGCCTGAACATTTTTGAAGTTTGCTAACATAACAAATCTTTTCAAATTTTCAATCTCAGAAACATTCTCACTTTCAGTCTCAACCCCGCAAACATATTCTAAGTGTTCAGAATACATGAGTCCGAAAGGAGTCCTAGGTAGGTAAGAAATGTTAGTTTCAAAAACAAGCAATGGTTTACTTTTGTATGAATCTGTTAGGATTCAAATATGATCCAAGTTATGTGCCAGCACCTTGTGCCAATATAAAAACAATAAAGATTTGAAATTTATATCTAAACTTGTTTATACAGAAATTGAAAATAATTAGAAAACAAAAAATTAACAAAATTTAGCTGCAGCTGCTGCTATTGAATGCATGTGCATGTGTATATGCACGTAAGTATGTATGCATGTTATTTGAAAGGAATTTTTGCAAATATAGTGCGTTCAATAAGACTCAAAGAACAACCTAAAATAAGTGTCCGAAAGTAGTAATTTATGAGGCCGATAAGAGCCTCAAAATGAGTATGAAATGATTTACATATATATGAGGCCAAAAATTGTTTAAAAAGAATCCAAACGAGTTCAAAATGAGCCGTATATGAGGCCAATAAGAGTCCAATATGACACATATTGAGGCTCATTCGATGTATGAATTTAAGCTCATATAAGTCGACCTTCGGTGGAAGGGAAACACCCTCATATCGGTCTCTTAAATGAGCTCATTATGAGCGTAATGGCTCCGAAATAGGACTCCTAAAGACTCATTTATTACATTCCCACGACAGCCGGTTCTACGTACCGGAATGACTCGGGTTTCACCCGACCAAGGGCTGTTGTTTCGGCGATCTAACCCCGTTTAGGTCGGCGAAGTATCTCAGAAGTTGTCCGTCCATAGGGCAACATTCACTACGCATTCTCCTACTCAGGGCTGGCATCGAGTCAAACCCTGGGCCAGAAATATACACCTGCTGTGTATGCCGAAGACGATTACACCACAACTCCACCTCAGTCAAGTGTAATGCCTGCGAGGGGTGGAGTCACCTCAGGGTCTGCTCGGGACTACGGACACACA